TCCTGCTCTCAGAAGTTGAACCTTAGGAATACTTCATATTCTCAGAATATCTCCAACTGAGATTATTTTCTCACTTACAAAAATCCTGTTTATGTATGTATGTTTGCAGGAATAGATGCACTAAATTAACAATTTCAAGTTGTACTTTTTGTTAATATTAATTTTAATGTAAGGTCTAAATAGATTACTTAGTTCACTTGAAATGACAAGAGGCACCAGTATTCAGTGCAGTTTTAAGGACAGAAAATACCTGAGATCTAAACTGTTTGTGTTCATATAAGTTTGTAATCATTTAGCATTTCAGTGTCCCACCTGTTTCACCCTTGTTCCTTTTGTCATTTTGCTTGTGTAGTTTCATGTTTTCCTATCACTGTATTCATAGCTGTTATGTATTGTACATTAGAAGCATCCATCCTACACCAGTTCTGCTGTTATCATGGCAAAAGGTGAACAGCCCATCCCTGGTCTCATCTGTTATTCCCATCACGCAGCAGGCAGTGCAGGAGAACCGGTAAGACACACCTACAAGAGGCTTTTGAATTAATAGTATCTGCAAATATACTGCCTGCCTCCTCGCCTAGCGTATAAGGAGATGCTGTTATTTGTTATATTCTAGCAGTTAGACAGCAGCGATTCTTTTTTAGAAAATGTGTGTGTGTGTGTGTGTGTGTATACACACACACACACACACACATGTGTGTGTGTGTGTATGTATATATAACATTATATATATATATATATGTATATATATGTGTATATATATATATATATATATATATGTGTGTGTGTGTGTGTGCCACTGAGCATATTCTGTGTAGGACGCAGAAATTAACAGGATTTAATTTTTAGCCAGAATATTTATTCTAGGACTAAGATAATGTGGGTTGTGTCAATGAGTTTGCATCATTTGGCTGCCAAGAGGCTCATTGCTCTGAAACTTGAGTTTCTGATTCAGCAGACTCATCATCTCACTTATTCAAATTATCCAGCCCAATTAAAATAATCCCCCAACATTATCCCTTGAGTTGTAGAATCTTGGTAACCTTTTCCTCATCAACTTACATTGCATTATGTTTCTCAGTGATGCATGTATCAATATGATGTATCATATGTGTTAATTCCTTCATATTTTGCTTTAATTGTTTATAGCTTCTCTTAAATTCTACTGTTGTGTGCTTAGAAAAAAAGGTAGGATTTGATATGACAAGCCCAGCTTTTGGACAGTAGCAGCCAGTTTAGATAGGTGTGCCATAGTTCAGGCTCTAGCAAGATGATTTATTATTTTTTCTCACCCCCCAAAAATTGAACCTTGGTTTCAAGGAAGAATGTGCAAAGGTGACATCAGAAGACCATAATGTATTACGTTCGTAGCTGCAGGTTAGTGAGACCCAGCTCCGGCTGGTTATCGAGGCCTATACTATCTTATTAGCTCATATCTCATTGAATAGCAGGCTACTTTCTCATTAATTCTTGGTAAAAGTTCTTTAGACATTATATCATTAGTCTTGTTGACAGAGGCCCTGTGGTTTTGCACTTTGATTTTCACCTTTTTGTCTCCATAGACAGGTGGTAATCAAAACCATCAATCAAGCATGTAATGCTTCTGTATTTCAGACCTGACACGACATGTTTAAAAAAAAGTCACTGGAGATTGGGGAAATAAGGCTTTTGAATTCATATAGCAGATGGTGAATCCATATTTAATATATGAACTTGTACCAGTACTGATATTCTTTGCTTGGTACTGCTATAATAAGCAACTATATTAATATTATCCTACAGCATTCTCAACAACCTATTTCTAAGATGTCATCTAGGCTTAGATATAGGCTTTTGGCTAGCTAGTCTGCAGGTTTCATATTCTCACTGTCTTTATAAGCATTCCTTTGTACAATGGAGAGGAATTCCATAGTCCTAATCTGATTTTAATGTGTCATATTAGGAACTACCTTAGTAAGAACTTTTAAAATTGTATACCTTCCTTCTTTTGCACCTACAAGATGTTTCTGCTTTTCTTATTCGTATCACCCTTGTAACAACCATGATAACAATCAGGATAACTTGACTAACACCTTGGAAGCCCTGTCAACAGCTCCTGAGGCCCTCCTGGAGGGAAAATAAGGAACTGTTTTCTTTGACTTTTCCCCTCTCTTGTCACTGCTTTATTCTCTGATCTCAAAACTTACAAGAAGAAAACAGCTAGGAGAAAATGGAATGTCAGGCAGAAAGATTTTCTTCAGAATCAGAATAACTATAATGATGGCTGGCAAGAAAGTAAAGAAAAACAGTAGACAGCTTTCTTCCTTGGCCAGGAGGAGTAGCAGTTCCTCAGTTAACAATTCACTCTTCGCTGACTGCAGTCCTTCCTATTGAATTCGTTTTCCTCTTCCAACTTGATTTGTTTTCCATTTCTCCTTCCCTCAAAACATTTCTCCTCCTCACAGCTTGTTGCCATCCTCCACTACCACTTCAAATCCTGTTCTCTGCAATATTTCATTCTCTCCATTCCATGAATCCCTTCACCCAAGTATGTATTTCTAAACTCTCCCCATGCTTTTATATCCCAGCATTAATTTTGGTACTCTGCTTGTCCATCCTCATTTAGGTATCTCCTTGTCAG